ATTGGAACCATTGTAAATCCTATTTCAAATTCGAGAATTGATGGCTCTAGACAACAGTGTTCAAGGAGTGATTAGGGAATGGTGGAATTCTCTGAGTATTAGGCAGATCTGACTTCATACTAGCCACACAATTGAAATTTCTGAAAGGAAAGCTCAAGGAATGGAATGCTACCAGTCATGGGAGCCTAGAAAGAAAGAAAAATGATATCTTAGGAAAGGTAGCACAAATGGACTTGATCATGGAGCAAACAAGCCTCATTGATTATGAACTAGCTCATAGAGTTCATCTTGACCTAGCGTGGTAAGAATATAATATAGTAAATCAAAGTGTGTTCTCTCTAACAACCTAAGTTGTAACTTTAGTTTTTAGATGAGATGGTCACACACTTCAACATTTGAAGTGGAAGAGAAACTAAAGAGCACTCAACTTGATTGTCCTCAAGCCATTGGGATTTTAATAACTATGTTTATATGACCTAAAAGGATAGGAAATAAATACCTAATTACAATAGGAGTAAATTAAGCTACCTACTATACTTGCATATATTCTAGAATATTCACAAGGATTCTAATACTCCCCCTCAAGTTGTGTACCATGTTTGGTACATATATAATTTGTTTTGTGATCGATTAGGAACTTGATGAATATGTAGGCAAGTTGATAATTTGACTGCACAAACTTTGTGACGATGTCGCATGACTAAAAAAATGACAATCAATCATTATGTGTGTGGTCCTCTTGTGAAACACTAGATTCGATGCAATGTGACGTGCAATCTCATTAGCACACAAGTTTCATTTCTTTTATCTCTTCAAATTTCACCCTTCGGCAGTTGCTAGATCCATATGACTTTACATGTGACCATTGCCATCCAAAAGTGGATCATTTGTAGGAGGGTCCTCCAGTTCCATTCGTATATCCAACAATTTTTTCATCTTCTCGGTCTTCGTAAAGTAGTCCTTTCCTTGGAGTAGATTTTATGCATATGAGAATGTGAATAATGACATTCCAGTGACGGTCATAAGGAGAATTCAAGAACTGACTTACAACACTAACCTGGAAGGCAATCTCAGGTCGAGTCTTAGTGAGATAATTCAATTTTCTACCAGTTTCCTATATCTTTTGGGATCACTAAAAGGCTTCCCCTAACCTGGTAGGAGCTTAATATTTGGATCTATTGGAGTACTAATAGGCCTACAATCTATCATTCTGCTACCTCAAGAATATCAACTATGTATGTCATTTGTGAAACAACATAATTTGGATTGAGCAACCTCAATGCCCAAGAAGTACATTAGTCGAGCAAGATCCTTAGTATGGCAGTGCTAAGAAGGTAATGTTTTGACTTGGTAATTCCTTCGTCATTATTACCTGTGATACTACGTCATTAATGTAAACTCCCAAGTACATGCACAAACCTTCATACCAGTTTTAAAAAAAAAGTACATGCACAATCCTGGAGCAGAGAGGATAATATATAGAATGATTTGCTTCACTTAGAACCATGCCAAATTCCTGAATAACAATGCTATAAGTTTTCCAAACCATGCTCGAGGAGATCACTTGATACGAATCGGGTTACTTGAATAAAAACAAGAAAATATTACATAAACGAAAATAAGAAGGTTAAAGATATGCGAAATTCGAGAATAAATTTCCCAAATTTCAAAATAAGTGCTAAGAACCCTAATTTCAATCTAAAGTATTCAAAAATTAGCGGATTAAAGCTAATTATGATATTAATAGTGTCAAATCAAGAACTTAGATAATAAACTGATCTAGATCCCTATTTTGAAGAAATTAGACAGTAATTACTATAAGACTAATTACCTTCTTTAATTCACAAATAAGAGTCAAAATAGCAAGTTAAAGAATTAATCTTACTTCTAGAAGAATCGTTCTTATAAAGTTGTTAAGATAAATCCCAAGTAGCCAACACCCAAAGGTGTAAAGAAAAGAAACTCTTAAATCATCATATCATATATATTACTAAAAGTGGGAAGCTCCAAAGTGCAAAGTTGGATTACCATTTTACCCTACATTCAATCATAATACTATTAAATAATTAATTAATTAAATATTAAGTATTTAATGATATTATATTATACTAAATACTAAAAGTGAGAAGGTGTTAAATTAATATAATTCATTCTTTTAAAAAAAATGCTTTAATTTTCTCAGTTACTCTCAAAAGGTTAAGAATTTGAAAGGTTACTTTGTATGGTTCAATAATATGGACTAGATTCAAATGCAGGTATAATGTATTCTTTCAAAATCAATGCATTGATTTCCTTAATTAATTTGAAAAAATGGATAAGTAATTTGAAAAGTTACCTTTCATGTATAATTATATATCAGATTCATATGCTGCAGTGTAAAATGAATTTGAATAGTCATTTCCTAAAGTTATTTAGAAGCTAACGTGTAATGCAATGAAGTCATAGAGATTTGTAAGAGTTACCATGGCACAATAATTTTATGGGTTACACAAAAGTTTAAGGAAAAATGCAAGCCACCCTGATTAGAAAATGAATCTATTCACTTATATTTATTGTTATTACAAAGCACAATCTTATCGGAAATTGATATGAGATGAAGTTGAAAGGATCATTTTGACCCATCTGTTTTATCGGGGGAGTCAGGTAAGGCCAAGAGGGTTCATTTAAACCCTCTTTGATGGAAAATTACACTATTTATACATATGGTTTAAATAGTTTTTTTATGTATATATAGTAGATGTTGACTGTTATGGTCCCCGGTTATGGATCTAGTTATGGGACGCTGCAAGATAAATTCTGAAGTTTTCTTTTTTCTACCTATGGTGCTGGTTCGTTAAGAGAGAACCTGTGATCTCTTGAGTTTGAAGTACTCAAAAACTTGACTAACGTTCTGCTTGCCTTTTCCATTGAATTCAAATAACTTAAATACAACATTGGTGATTAACCACCCACCTAATAACAAGGAAATAACTTCCCACTACTACTGAAATGAGAAAGTGGAAAAATAACCTCCTTACTGCTAATAACTGCTAATAACTACTACTACAGAGAAAACAACTGCTACAGGAAAACACTGTTACAGAACCTATTACAGAGAAAACAGAAAAACATAATTAATAGCTACTGATTTAATTTCCATGCATAAAATTGTTGGTAGACTAAAAGGGTACTAACATTACTCCCCTTCTTCAAATCGCGCTTGTCCTCAAGCGCCAAGTGTGGAAAGTAATTCTTCTTCATCGTTAATGAAATCAATCCAGAATAACTTATGCCACTGTTTTATTTAATATGTTTTTCTCACTGTTGATTCTATTATTAATGTCTTAAAATCATATTTTATGTGTTCAATTTTGTACTAAATGACTCATGGTTCATGTTGACTATTTTTTGCAATTTAGTGATTTTTTACACATAGATTTATGCTCAATATTGGAAGTGTTGGAAACCATAACATTGAATCAGTCCTTGCTTGGATACATGTGCAATGCACGTACCCAGAGGCTAGTAATATTAATAATAATGTTCATTGTAAAATAACAAAATCTACCCTTATCCCAAATAGCATGGGATTCACATCCTTGTTTTATGGAAATAACAAATAATGAAAACCTAACTAGGAAACTTTAAACTAGGAAAACAAGTAAAATATAATGTCAAACTTTCCCAAAACTAGCTAACAAAAAGGAAACTGTCAAATTCTTGCTCCCAACACACACCTATTTTGTGACTTTTGAACCGCTTTTTTAGGCTTGAGAGAAAGCCATTATGGTCATTAATTGCAGCCCTTTGGAGGCTTGATTCTCACATGTAACAGCCCTTTTCTTGGGCCCCTCCTCTTGGGCTCCATGTGGCCCCAATCTTACTCCTATTGGACTTGGACTGAAGTATGAAGTATGTGTAGCACTTAGCCCACTCCTTGGCATAATTCTTGGGCTCATTATTGGGTTCTTGATCTACAATAAGCATCTTGTCGGCTCATTCCTAGGCTCTTCTTCAATGATAAGCATCTTCTTGATTTCCCAAGCTTCATCCAAGCCCTTCACTGGAGATATGCCACCATGAATGCTATCATTCTCCTCTTCTTGAAAAATTCGTTCTCGAATTTAAACCTCGCAAAATCAAGAAGACATGCACTAGTAAACAACATTCATTAATCATAAGCAATAATGGTAGGAACGAAACAAGATGGTGACCATGTATTCACTTAGCCCAATTAATCCTAGCATGTATAAATACACCCTTCTAAAGCATGTGGATGACATCATCCCAATATAAATTTTTCTACTTATATAAGCACAACAATATTGTTGTCTAGATGCCATAAGAAATGATACATGCAACTCCAATTTACTTCTATCAATATAGTATCCCAATGCGCATGGCAACAACGACACAAACTCCCTAAAATATGTATCAAATTAAACACCTCTATGATATAGCCAAGGATCCTCAAGTACGTACACCTCCCACAAATTCTTCCACATAAAAGCTATTCACATAAGCACTAGAGTGTTCAAGAAACTTAGAAGAACCTTTAAATTCCAAAAAGAAATCTCCACTAAATTCGAGCTCATTGTCATATGAGAACTCATTTGATACTAGAATAAGAGAAGAGGAAACATCCAAACCATAAATTTCGTGCATGTTTTTGGTTTTTGCATATGATATATGCATGTTTTGCAACATAATCATATAAAAAGGAATTCACAAAATATATAGAAAGAAAAAATATTTCTTTTCTTAGTCTTAGCTCCTTTCTAGTTTTAGGTTAAATAGCAAATCATGAACTCGTGCTTGTTCGACAAATCAAAGCAATCTGCGTGGTAGGCAACATTTTGCTCAATCATTTGCTTCATCTTCCTGCTTACCATTCTTTTTTGAGGCCTTACTTTTCTTACATATATTATGCTATCTCCCTTTTCTATTCTTTTACTTTTCTTTGAGGGGGAGGGGGTAGCAAGGGACAGATATTCATACAAAACCATATTTTTCATTTCCAGGTCACTGCTTGCTTCATTTGCAAGAGAAGAGGTCATTTAGCCAAAGATTGTCCGAATGCTAAAACACAGATACTACAAGCCCAATCTTGTGAATTTTGTTTAAAATGCGGTGACACGGGACATGATATGTTCACTTGTAAAGATGGTTATTCCTCTACTGATCTTGAGGTACGTGAGGTTTATCAACTTAATTCTGGTATTGGCATAAATCCTTGTCTGGTAAACAATTATTGTTGTTTATACGTGCTATGCTGTCTATTGAGTCATTACTTCAGGAAATTGTTCTTTTAAAACTTCTAAAACAAATAATATTCACTCCACACTCCCTAATTCACTGACGGCAATCTATGAGCTCTTACTTAGACTATTATATTAATGTTTGATTTGCACAGCGTTAAATAAGAAAATCCGTATAATTATGTATTCTGTAATTTTATGTTTTTATGTTTGAATTGAAGAAACATTACTATCAGTTGTTATTATTATTATTATTATTATTTTTTGCATAACATGGTGTTTGGGCCAAGTTGCACGCGTCTTTACTATTCCACCAGGTATTTACAACCTCTCACCAGCACAGGCACCCTGGAACTTTACAAGCCAAGGATTAGGCTGATCATAATTTTATTCCCCACAGATAGGAACTCCCCAAGCTATGTCCCTCCCACATAGGGACAACAGTTGGGTCATAATTAGAGTCTTTGACACAACCTATTAAAACACTAAGGATAAACCAGATCCAAAATATGAACCATGAAATACAATACCTATGAAACCTATTACAAAAATACTGGTTAGATCACCAATTATCAAAAGAGAAAACTGTCCAGTAAAATTGGCCATTTACCCACCTGTATCTACATTTCATCAAGTGGTCAAGTTAGAGAGGAAAACAATCATAAATATTAAATTACAAGTCATGCTACCCCAGGCAACACATAGCTTAGTGTAGCACTTGGGTTCCGGTTTTCCTTGCTGAGTGCCCATCATGCTTAGAGAAGAGTTTGATCCATGCTCAAAAGGAACACGGAAGGAAATCATTTTTTGTGTGCCTCTGTTGGGATTTGATCCCCGTTCTCTTATGATTTTTAGTCCATCTTTATTGGTTACTAGGGAATACCTTTGGGTGAAACATTCTAGTTAGTTATCTCGATTACATTCTTTCTGAAAGTAGTAAATTGTAAACAATGTTCACTTTAAACTAATGGTGAATCTGATGGTCTGATGTGGATAGAAAATTCAATGCTGGGTTTGCAAAGCTTTTGGCCATCTTTTATGCGTAGACTACAAAGATTATGGACCAAAACAAGTATCTTGCTACAACTGTGGGAAGCTTGGTCATTTAGGTTCAGTAAGTCATATCTGCCACTTTCTACAATTTCTATTAGCCAATCTTCACATCATATTGATCTGTAATTTAATTTTATTCTGTTTGTGTAAGGATTGCTTAAATTTACGTGGGAACATTCGGTTAGCTTCTCGTAGCTGCAAGAAAGGCGGGACTGGTCCCTCCTGCAGTGAAGGCAATAATGCAGCAGATCATACATTGCAAGACGAAAAGAAAGGAGATAAATATCTTTTATGTGAAGACAGAGAATCTGCGAAGGTATGGCTCAGTAGATCTAGAAACTATTGAGTTTATTTGCATTCAGGGGGTGCCACCTCTCCTTCTCTTTGTGGATGTATCTTTTTGAACCATTTTAGAAGTAGGAGAGGTCTTTGCTATGTGCTATCTTCTTGCGAATATATATTTGATTTCCATAGGAATTTGTTTTATTCTTCTTTAGTAGAATCACATTGATTGTTCTAGACTTCTAGTCATGCTTCATCAAAATTTTGTAGCCTCAGAAATCATGGTTCAAAAGTTATTAACACAGATGACCTCACATAGGCCACCTTCCAGAAAAATTGTACGAATGGATCAATGTTAAGTGATGTCTGTATGTTACTGTAAAGGCTGCAGTCTGCACAAATTTTGGAATCTTGAAGAAAAATCATAGACAGTTATAACAAATATAAACATATTATTGAAGGGAGATAGTTGTATTACAGATTTAAGATGTAGTCCAATAAAATATGCTGTTCCTCCGCTCCATTAAATTGACCTGGATTGAATTGTATAGATTTAGGAGTAAAATGAAAAGGACTGTTGTATTGACTTTGATAAAAGAACATTTAGAGTGACTTGAGATGTAAATGAATGGAGTAGATAAGTGAAAAGAAATAACATTAAGATTGAACTAACGTAAACTGGCATTTGTTGTTGTATTTTGAATTGTTGCAAGGACAAAAGTTTGGCATTTTAACCCTTCTTTCTGCTCTTCCAGGTCCAGGATCTTCTTCAGCAAATGGTGAGTCTACAACCCCTGGTACTATTTCTAACCTCTATTCAACAAGTGATGTCAATGCTTACATAGGCAACTTTCAAGAATGGCAGGTTGGTATTTGAGTAAATCATATTAGATAAATTAGCGTTTTATTTTGTTTAGATTATCTTGTGATCTTCAAGTCAATAATATGCTTCAATGTAACTACTAAGAGTAAGCAATATTGTCCTGTTTTTAAGGAGAAAGGAAGTTATGGTATGGTAAGACTGGTTACTGTTGATTCTGGCGCAGCTCTGATGAACATTCAGTAATTTCAGCCTAGTATCTGGTGATGTTAGGGATGATAGGATAGCTATTAATTGGGTATTAATACATATTTACCGTAAATTAATACATTGTAGCAGAGAATAGGATGTCAACATGTGTGATGTGGCAGCATGACCAACACCTGCTTCTGGGAGGCAATTGTGAACTGGAAAGGTTGACTGCTAGTTTCATTTTTAGTCTCAGAAGGGAAATACAGAGGAGAAATCCGTTCTTGAAACATGTTTGGTAGTAAGAATTTATCTTCTGCTGCAGTAGACAATAGCTGCCTGTAAAGGGTCCAGACTGCAGGGGTCTAAGTTTCTCTCTCGGTATAGTTAACCAATTGGCAGAAGATGTTATAGAATTATATAAAGGATGTATACATAAAAAAATGTACTTGTGTATATATGAATGTGAAAATCATGATGCATTGCTTGGGAGGAACTGTACTCTCATTTCCTTCTTCAATTTGGCCCAAGTATCAATCCTTGGTTGACCAACACTTTCATCATCCAAATTCCGAGACCGCCACCAAAGTTTAGCATCACTGGACAAATACATGGAAGCAATGTTCAACTTGTCGTCCTCCGCAATTCGGCTTGTTTTGAAGTATTGTTCCACGTCCCAAATGAAGTTTTCCAGTTCCTTGGCACTTCTTATACCACTGAAAGACTTCGGTTAAGGGAACTTTAGCTTAGAGACATCCCCACCCGTCGGTTTAGACGCAGCAACGGTCATTCGCAACACCTTCACCTCTGCGTGAAGGTTTTTGTCTTCCTTCAGCAGTCCGTCGATCTGTAGTGCTGCTGCTTTACGAAAATTAAGACCTTCTAGCAGTTGGTCTTCAGCATCAACACAATATTGATTCAACTCTGTCGGAAATGCCTCAAATTCCGTTCTCAAGCCATTAATTTGGGTGAACAGATCCAAAAACGTAGGATCAGTCCCGTACCAATCCCTTATACCAACAAATGCCTCTATATTGCGCACCAATTCTTGTAGTTCTGTGTTCGTCACCATCTCGTACGTCTTATGCTTTGATACCAATTGATACGGGCTCAATTTTTTCATCTAACACCACTGCACGGCACCTGCAACGCTTGCAAACTTCAGCCTATCAATACACTCGAATCTGTCTAACACTTTGAGTTTTCTTTTACTTTTAGGCAACGTACTATATTGAGGAACACTCAGACGTTTACAGGATGAATCCCAACCTTTATTAATATGTATTCAGCAAAGGAAAGGCTTCATGAATTCGACCAAGGGACAGAACACTCTCCTGCTTGCTTTAGCCGAATTTCCACCCCATTTTAAATCTACACATGGCAGTTACAAACAGTTACAAAACTGCCAAGTGTCTAACACATGTCATGGCCAAATCTGTCCAAATAAAACTAACTCTAACAGCTCTTTACAATTCGAATTCAAATAAATACAATACATGAGCCTAGCACATATTATTTATTTGCCTTAGCCGAATTGCATCTGCCCATACTTAGAATATTTCAGCCGTCTCCCAGCCTTAGTTTTATTTCTTCAATTCTGCCAACTTGTGCCAACACTGATCAAGCTTTGTCTTGCCATCGTCAAGTCTACACAGCCTTGCCTTGTCATGCCCACATGCTGTCCTGCCTTGCCTTCATCAAGTTCCCACAACCTTGTCTTGTCAAGTCAGCACGCTGCCTTGCCTTGTCTTGCCGATACCACTGTTTGCATGTATGCCCCTAAGGTGCCATACTCCTGTCGTTGTCATCATGCCCAAGTCTGCCAAGCCAACACTCTAGCATCCTTGGTCCTAAGTCTGCCTTCCCAACACTCCAACATACTTAGTCTTTTCACATCCAAGCTGCTTAGCCAACACTCCAGCATCTTGAACACTTCGCTGCACTCCAACACTTAGTCGCACACCCGCATTGTTTTCCCATGCCCATGCCAAGTCCTTGTCATGTCAGTACCGACGTCGCATAGCTATTCTAGGGGTCTAACAACCTCCCACTAGCAGTAGGTACCAGGTAACCCTTTCCACCAAGTCTTGGACAGATTGGATGTTCTTTGATTTTTTAAATTCTTCATTCTAAAAAGTCATTTCCTGTAAGTATGGTATCATCAAAGTGCACTTGTATAAGCCCCACACCATGCAAAGCGAAGCACGATATTTAAGTGGAGAAGGGTAGAGGGGCGGGCCCATTAGCCACCGAGTTTAGAAGGCTGTGATTGGTCCAAAGGGCGGGTTATAGACGGATTTCTCGGTTTTCAAAAAAAAAAAAAAGTGCACTTGTATATCAGTGAGATCATAGGGGGTGGAGTTTGGTTCTTATGAGTGTGCTTAATCTTTTTTTTTTGTTCCGGTTTCTCCTCGAGTAAACCTGTAATTCCTTTGTATGTTCCATGTACTTGTCATGAATTGAGTCATGAAAAGGCTTTATTGTCTCAATTTTTTCATTTAAATTATTTAACTCATTATCTCGTACCTTATCTAGGTTTTGATTACCAAAAGTACTATTTCTATCGGGATTCATAAGGACTTGGTGAAAAATAAAAACTTGTAGTCATGAAAAAAAGCTCTCAGGCACACTTCCCCAAAATTCTCTCTCCTACTTTCTAGGAGAGAGAGCACCCTCTTTCCGGCAGGTCGCCTGAAAACTACCAACCTCATCCTCCCCTCAGCTATATCCTTCTGCGATAGCTTTCTCCCTTCCTTAACTTCAGCTCCCTTCCACAGACATGGGGGAAAATAGGATTTATTTCCATGCTGGTTTCAAGTCATTCGATATTACCAGATGGACATCTGGCGAGGAAGTCTGGTTTGATTGGGTGGAGGCGTGGAGCGCAGTAGAAACATGATGAGAAGAATAACTCTCAGCAAAAAAGTGATGGAGTGGATCTGTTTTGTCTTGAAAGAAGCCTCAAACGACAACAAGAATTTTGTGAGGAGATGGAGAATGAAGGACCAAATGGCAGAGTATTTTAGTACAAGGTAGTTTAATGCTCATGGAAGATTTATGAGTCTTTTGTCTCTAAAAGGAGCAGACAGAGCAGTAGTTATATTGCCAGAAGCTTTCAATGCTGGTTGGAAAGACATTGCACTCAAGATAGGAAACTTCATTAATTACTCACCACCAAGAACATTAATAGCTCCTCACAGAATGGTTGATTCTAACCACTCGTATGTCAAGGTTGTTGAGAACAGTAAATGGCTTTTATCTACCTCTGAAGCTCCAGAAAGCAAAAGGCAGGAGGTTTCCACTATTGCTACAATTGAGTATGGCAGAGGTTTGCTTGGAAGATGTATCACAGGAAACTTTGGCAATCTTGGCTTTGAGATGCCTACCCTCTCCGAGGTTAGGAAATGGGCATCGTCAACTTGGAAGAAAGTTTTTGGGGTTAACATCTACGAGATGATAGACAACACTTTCCTTTTTGAATTCCCCAATAGGAATATGGCTGAGCAGACACTTCAAGGAGGGTGGACCTGGAAGAAATCTAGGGTTCGTTTGGAATGGTTTGGGTGCACTCCGGCGGCACAGAAGAGCAAAACGACTTGGATCAGAGCGATTGGGATACCTCTTCACTTATGGTCGCATGAAACTTTTCGACAAATTGGAGACCTTTGTGGTGGCTGGAAATCGACGGAGGAAGAGACTGGTTTGAAGAATCACCTTAAATGGGCTCGAATCGAAGTAAAGGGGCCATATAAAGTGGTAGTTTTTACTTGGTTGGTGGTGAAAGAGGTTGTACTTACACAAGAGAATCTTATGAAGAGGGGAATACAAATGTGCCCAAGATGTTGTTTTTGTGAGCAGGTTGCAGAGACAATTAATCATCTGTTCTTACATTGTAAAGTGGTTGGCCAGTTGTGGAATTTGTTTACTAGCTTCAGAGGTATAAGTTGGACTGTTCCAGGGAGAACAGGACAGGCTCTAGAAAGCTGGAATAGGGAGGGCAGTGGCAGCACAGACAAGAGTAGATGGAAAATTGTCCCAGCTGTTATTTGGTGGACCATATGGAAAGAAAGGAATTCTAGGAATTTTGATAACAAGAGCAGCCCTCTGCACAAGATTAAAATGAACTGCATTATCACTTTTTGCTATTGGTGTAGTTCAGAGTATATAGATGACCCTGTGGCTATTGTAGACATTCTAGGGTCCTTAGTTCAGAGTATATAGATGACCCTGTGGCTATTGTAGACATTTTAGGGTCCTTATAAAGATGAAAGGAGGATCTAGGGATAGTTTCTCTTTTTTCTTCTTTTCTTTTCTTTATCTTTTGTTTATGCCCGCCACACATGTGTGGAGGGAGGATATGATGTAAATTTTTGGATACCAGCTTTGAGCTGATGATTGATATACAAATGTTACCTTTATCAAAAAAAAGGGGGATGGCCGAAACGTCCCAAGTGAAGTAACTATCTCGAAAGAGGGTCTAAATTTCTTTATCCCGATCTGGGTGGAAAGAAAACCTAGTTTTCAAAGAACTCCGGTGGGGTCCCCGGTGCCTGGAGATGAAAAACTCAATGGCACAATTTTTTTTTTTGTCCAGCGGTCCGTAGAGTCCTATGAGGTAATAGACTCTGTTGGACAGTTGACAGCTATTGACTGAAGGGGTCAGGGTCACGTCGGAGTGGATATTTCAAATTTTAATCCCCAGATGGGGTCACGTGAGGAGCATGGGAATTATTTGGGAGTTACACTGAACCCTTTGGGCCATCTTGACAGCAATAATTGTATTGGGCCTGATCCAGCCCAATTTATTTACAACAATATTGTGGAGGAACCCATTAATGAAAGAAGGGACATGCTCCTAGTATAACTCACGTCGAGCAAGCCCCTTTTGAATCAGTCTGACAATCTATCTGGGACTTTGCAGACGGCATCGATAGATGGCAAAGCTCCAGCCAGAGAAATCGATGGCAACATGCAAGTGGTACCTGGGGAAGAAGAAGGGAGTTTCAATGCCGAGGGGAAAGGAGACACGAGAGGGGAGATTCGAATCCAGGAACAACAACAATTATCAATCTTTGATCTGTCAATCAATGGGGATCTGTGGGAAGTAGAAGATGTATCTCCACTACAAGCAGAACAGAATGAAGCAGTTCTGGAAAAGGAGTCGGAAGCAACTGCCTGGGTTAGACAAAATTTGCTAAGACTCAGTAAGATGTTCGGAATTGATTTTAAAGGCCATGAGAAGGAAACTCTTGAACTACTTATGCAAATTGATGGGAGTAGGCAAGCAAGAAGAATGGAACCAATCACAGATATCAAGAAAATCAGAAGCAAAGGTTCGCTAGAACTGAAAAATCTGATCACCTTTGATGTAAAATTCAAAAGTGGTGGAGGCAGATCAAAGGGGAAGGGGAAAACTCAGAATGACCAATGAAGCGAAAAATAGTTTCATGGAATGTGAGGGGATTGAATGATCAGGGGAAGAAAAGAATCGTTAAGAGCCACCTTTTAGACTGGAAAGCAGACATAGTATGTCTGCAAGAAACAAAGTTAGAAGGAAACTGTCAGGATCACATTAAACAGATCGGGGGAGGAAGATGGACAAGGTTTGTTTGTCTGGAAGCTAGTGGTACCAGAGGAGGAATAATAATGATGTAGGATTGTAGGGTCTGGAAGGGAGAAGTGTTACAGATAGGAGTCTATTCCCTAACCTGTAAATTTGAGGCAGTTCTGCAGAAATTTTCTTGCCATATCTCTAGTATATACGCACCTAATGGAAAGATAGAAAGGAGGTTAGTTTGGGATGAATTGGGGGCGGTGAGAGGATTGATAGAAGGTCCTTGGGCGATCTGTGGAGACTTTAATGTCTGCAGATTTCACTATGAAAAAAGGAACTGCAACAGAAGAACTTCAGCAATGGTGGAGTTCTCCGACTTCATAGAGGATATGGAATTGGTCGACACACAGTGGGAAGATGGCTCTTTCACATGGTTTAAGGGAGACAATCAAGAGGCTGCATCAAGGATAGACAGATTTCTTCTCTCTTCTGAATGGGATGGAAGTTTCCGTAACATAAAACAAGTGCCTTTGCAAAGGCTGGTTTCTGATCATGTGCCTATTGCACTTCAATGTGGTAGCTGGGAGGTCCCAAAATCCAATTTCAAATTCCAGAATTGGTGGTTGACAAAAGAAGGTTTTGTGGACAAAGTTAGTGATTGGTGGAATTCTTTTGAGTTCTCAGGGAGACCTGATTACATCTTAGCCTCCAAACTTAAAGCCCTCAAAGAAAAGCTAAAGGAATGGAGTAGGAGTGATCAAGGGAGTCTGAAACTTCAAAAGTCAAGATTGCTTAACCAAATGGCAGATCTGGATTCAATTCTGGACTCCAGGATCATGACAGAAGAGGAAATTGCTAAAAAAGCTGAGTTATATTGGAACTGGAAGAAGTCCTAAAAAATGAGGAGAGTGTATGGAGACAGAAATCAAGGACACTATGGCGCAAGGAGGGCGATAAAAACACCAAGTTTTTTCATCAATCAGCAAATGCCCATAAGCGATACAACCACATTGACAAACTAGAGGTGCAAGGGGAGACTATTGTGGAACCAGCAAGAATAAAAGAAGAGATAGTCAAATTCTATAATAAGCTTTACACAGAGGAGGTAGAATGGAGGCCTATTGGGAACATCAGCAACTGCCCTAGAATTACGGAAGCGGAAAAAGAAGTTTTGCAGGGAGAATTTGAAGAACAAGAAGTTTATAACTGTCTCAAGATATGTGCAGCAGACAAAGCCCCAGGCCGAGACGGTTATATTATGGGATTTTACATTAAGTGTTGGGAGGTTCTGAAGTACGATATCATGCAAGCTTTCCACAACTTCCATTCTAAGGAGATGTTTGAAAAAAGTTTCAATGCTACTTATATAGCCCTGATACCCAAGAAGAAAGGGGCAAAAGAGTTGAAAGTTTCAGACCGATTAGTCTAGTAGGGAGTTTCTACAAATTGGTCTCCAAAGTTTTGACAGAAAGGTTGAAAAGGGTGGTGGACACATTGGTAGACTCACAACAAATGGCTTTTATTAGAGGCAGCCAAATTATGGATGCTGATAGCCAATGAGGCAGTCGATTCAAGAATTTCTCAAAAGAAACCTGACATTCTATGTAAACTTGACATTGAGAAAGCCTATGATCATGTCAATTGGGAATTCATCTTGCAAGTCCTTAGGCAAATGGGTTTTGGTGCTAAATGGGTCAACTGGGTGAAGTTTTGTATCTCAACAGTGAAGTTCTCCATTCTTGTCAATGGTGGCCCTGAAGGTTTTTTCAATGCTCAGAGAGGGATCAGACAAGGGGACCCCATGTCTCCGTTTTTGTTCATTTTAGCCATGGAAGGTCTTAACAGCATGGTAAAGGTGGCCAATACTAATGGATCAGAGGTTTTGAGGTGGCTAAAAACAATAACCAAAGAATGGAAATCACTCATCTTCAGTACGCTGATGACACTTTAATATTTTGTGGGGCAGAAGAGGAACAACTGAATTATTTGAGAGTGATACTAATTCTGTTTAAGGCCATCTCAGGCCTTCACATCAATTGGAGGAAGAGCCACATTTATCCTATCAATCATGTGCCTGATATGGAGCTGCAGCTGCTGGCTATAATCCTAGGTGGTGAAGTGGGTAACCTACCAACAATATACATAGGTATGCCTTTGGGAGCAAAATCTAATTCCAAAGGGATCTGGGACTCAGTATTGGAGAAGTGTGAGAAGAAATTGACAAGGTGGAAATCTCAGTATTTGTCCCTTGGAGGTAGACTCACTCTGATTAATGCTGTCTGGGATGCTTTGCCTACTTATATGCTCTCCCTATTCCCAATCCCTCCCGGAGTCATTCAAAGGCTGGACAAGGTCAGGAGATCCTTCCTGTGGCAAGGGAATAAAGAAAAAGAGCTTTTCATCTAGTCAAGTGGAAGGAAATCACCAGAAGTAAGAGACAAGGGGGTCTTGGCATCAGGAATCTGAAGCATCATAGCAAAGCTTTGAAGCTTAAATGGCTCTGGAGATATTCACAGGCACCTCAAACATTATGGAGCAGAGTCATTAAGAGTAAGTATGGGAAAGAGGACAACTGGGTCTCCAAGGAGGTCAATACTCCATATGGAATTAGTCTTTGGAGGACTATCAGAAGCTACTGGCCTTTTCTCAAAAATCACTCCCACATCAGAGTGGTTAATGGGAACAAGACTAGATTTTGGAAAGACAAATGGATTGGGACAAGGAGCCTTATAGGCAGGTTCCCAGATTTATTTGTTGTAGCCTTAGACCAGCATAAAACAGTTGCCGAGATGTGGACACAACAAGGGTGGGACCTTAGATTTAGAAGAATGTTGAATGATTGGGAGATACCTAGACTTGCGGAACTGTTCAACCAGTTGAGAGTTTTCAAGGTTTGCAAGAAGGTGCAGATTGCCTAAGGTGGAGTGGGCATGTAAGTGGAGCATATAAGGTCAACTCAGGGTATAGGGTTTTGAATCAAGTAGAGCCACATATTACTAACTGGCCTTGGAAGCATATTTGGAGGACTAAGATACCTTACAAAGTATCTTGTTTCACCTGGCTTCTAGCTAAAGAAGCAATCTTGACACATGAAAATTTGATCAAAAAGAACATTGCTCTCTGCTCTAGATGTTTCCTTTGCGAAAAGGAAGCTGAGACAGTAAACCATTTGTTCTACACTGCAGTATTACTGATCAACTATGGAAGATATTCATCAATCTCAGAGGCATAGCCTGGACAATGCCAGGCAAGGTTGCTGCCGCTCTTTTTAGCTGGGGGGAAGCAGGAGCGGGTGCAGGAAACAAAGAGAGATGGAGGATCATCCCATCATGTATTTGGTGGACTATTTGGAAGGAAAGAAATGATAGGTGTTTTGAGGATAGGAGGAGTTTAGTACAGGATATTAAGCTAAATTGCATTTTGCTTTTCTGTTTTTGGTGCACTAAACTGTATTCTAGTGACACTGAATCAATCTTAGATGTCCTAGGCACCATTTAGGATTGGTCTCATAACTGGTATATTATGTATCTATTCCACTTGTAAATTGGTTTTTTCAGTACTACCTAAGTACTGGTTTTAATACAAAGTTACCTTACTCAAAAAAAAAAAAAAGTACTATTTCTATCACGAAACCTAGAACATTTTGATTCTCACATATTAGGTCAATAGGATCCTTATTACTGGAATCTATGTTACATTTCTCCCCTTGAAGATGAGTTCCAAAGAGCAGTTGATATTTTAAAAAGGTGACATCCATTATGATAATAATCTTCCTAGTATTTGGTTCATAACACTTGAATCCCTTTTGACTAGGAGCATAGCCAACAAAAATACATTTCTTAGCATGTAAATCAAGTTTATTCCTATTATGATC